CTACAAATGCACTTCCTAGACAATCGTTGTTTTTATAAAATTGGGAGTTATAGATTTCAAACTGGAGATATTTCTTCCACGCTTTGCTGTTGCTCCACTTTTTAGCTACACTTCGAGTGCCAGGTGGGGAAAGTGATGATGAATCAAGAACTCCATCTGCATCTCCTCGCCACGGACGATCCAGACCTTCATCCATTGCTCAGGAGTCCTCCTCTGAATCCGAAGATGGGGATTCCAGAGGAGAGGTAGGATATCTTTTAAGGACAAGTTTGACCCGAGGAGAAAACTTTGATTAAAATGGCTGATCTCTGATGGTTTAAGGGTCTCCATCTCCTTTAGGGATGTGCTTCGTTTTTGTAGGTAAATATTGAGTCTGTGATACAGAGCACAGAGAATCAAATCAGGTAATTAGCAGTAGAACAAGAGGGAATGGCTTCAAGCTGCAACAGGGGAGGTTCAGACTGGAAAAGTTTTTTCACAGAAAGAGTGATTAGACACTGGAATAGGCTGCCCAGGGAGGTGGTGGAGTCACCATCCCTGGATGTGTTTCAGGGTCGTTTGGATGTGGTGTTGGTGGAGATGGTTTAAGGGAGAACTTTGTAGAGTAGGGATGATGGTTGGACTTGGTGATCCCAAGGGGCTTTTCCAACCTGAATGGTTCTATGATTCTATGAAATGTTGGTGCTCCCTGTGTGATCCAGATCAAGTAGTCCCAGTCAGCATTGTCAAAACATCCATTATTTGGCACCTTTTGATTTCATGACAGATCTTCAGGAAGTCAGAGCTTGATTTTGTGTGGCCTTGGGCAGAGCTGGTCAGAAAAATTTTGTTGATAAGTTTTTTCATGAAAAAAAAGTGAAATTTGTGAAAATGAGAAGCTGAAATTTTGGGCTTTCCTTAAAAAAAAATTAAAATTAAAACTTTGGAGATGATAACCTATTTTGTCATCTTTAGGATCAATATTTGTTTTATCTTGGGTGAAAAATCCACTATTTCATGATGTAAATCCAAAGCACCTCAGCTAGTTTTCAAAATATGGCCTGAGCCTCCTAGAAGACTTAGTCTTCTACTTGCCAAAAAGCAAACAGTGATTCTCTTTGCAGTACAAGGGCTGGAAAATAAAACATTAACTAGAAATAAGCACTTCTGTCCTGCTGGTGTTGCTGTGTTCTGTTTTCAGAGCACAAAATAACTCTCGTTTCATGCCTGCAGATCTTTGATGTCTACATGGTCACAGCAGACTATGCTCCTGCTACTCCTGACAGGGAGACCATCACTTTGAAGGAAGGCCAATACGTGGAAGTTCTTGATTCAGCTCATCCTCTGAAATGGCTGGTCAGGACAAAACCCACAAAATCCAGCCCTTCTCGACAGGGTTGGGTCTCTCCAGCTTACCTGGACAAGAAATTAAAGGTGACTGGTCATGCTGTGTTTATTTTTCATGTAAAATTCCTTTTGCAAGGAGGAGGTTGTTGGAAGGTTCTGTGACATGATGGTTTTTTTCACTGTCTTTTTAGACAGTATTTCTCTGTGTGTGCAGAGGGGCCTGGGTTTGAAAGACCTAATCATCCTCCAGTGAAAAAAGAGATGCCACATTGGTTTAGGTTGAAAGGACTGTGAACACACGAGGGATATTCCTCAGTTGGCAGTGATAAAAGCTCTGCTCACTTAAAAGAATAACATTTATTTTTCTTTTTGCTTGTATTTCAGTTGTCACCAGAGTGGGGAACAACAGAAGCTCCCGAGTTCCCTGGAGAGTTTGTTTCTGAAGATGAATACAAAAGGAAGCTAAGGTGAGCTGGTGTCACTTGGTATTTGTACCAAGTTAGAGTTTTCTTGCCTTTTTAGCTAACATGAGGGTTGGCATTTGGTCCCACCTGTCAGAGTCACTGTTTTTCTTCTGCTGACTCCTGCCACCTTCCCCTTTCCCGGAATCAAGCAAACCCTTGATGCTCTCAGGCTTGTAATTTGTGATGTTTCATTGGGTTTTGCCATTGATTTCAGCCTAGGAAAATTCCAGGCCATCTAAATTTTATGGGATGACTTGAAAGGAGGGCTTTACATGGAAGCTCTCTGATTTCACTAAATCCTAAACTCCAGTACCTCGGTACTTTGGGGTGCCCTATATCCAAAGATGATGTCTAAAGAAGGAATGAAACTCAAATGAGTGAAAGCTCAAGCGACTGAAACCTCAACCTTGTTCAGCTACTGAGTGTGAGGTCCTGGAGATAATCGCCTTCTTCATTGCATAAAGTGGCACTGAAGTTGTTACTGTCTACTTGACATGGGTTCTTTTGTGGTTCATGCTCCATTTTGTCTGCCCTAACAGTAGATGTCTGTAAGGTGGAGGTAGGTGTCACTCCATAAGCTGCTCCTGACCCAGCTTTGTCTTATGGTCAGAGGGGATCTAGTCAAGACACTCCAAGGGGTCTGTTCTTCTGATCATATATCTCTACTTTGGAGCCTAAAAGTCTCTAGGATAACTGTGATGATTCTTCTGTGATTTCTTTTCACCTGATTGTCTTGCTTTCAGTGTTCTTATTCAAGAGCTGCTGATCTCAGAAGAGGATTACATTCAAGACCTACAGTTCCTCCAAACTCATCACCTTAGGTACACTGAGATCTGTCCCAATGTCCCAGGAGCTGTCACCAGCCAGAAAGCCACTATCTTCAGGAATATTGATGACATTGCTCGCTTCCATTCCAGGTGGGCATTCCCACGTGCCTTCATTGGAGACCAAGGAGTGGCTCACAGACTTGGTGTCAGAGCCTCAGTAACAATTAGTACTTGCCAGGGAGAGGAGGTGTTGTACAATGTGGGGTTTACATGCCTTAGGCTTTCCATTACTAAGGGACCTCCTTTTGCACCTCGGTACCCTTGCTCTCATGGGAAGTGATGTTCATGTGGCAACATCCCTCATTTCCCCCAGTCATTTCCTTTAGTCTGTGCTAACCTGAAATTGCTTGATTGAAAAGTCTGGCTGCTGGAACTGGCTTGTAGCCTCATTCCACCACCTTCTCCTCAGATGTCCCTCTTTCTTTGTCTCCACAGTGTCTTCCTCCATGGCTTGCAGAGATGTGACACGGATGATGATGTGGCCATGTGCTTTATTAAGCATGAAGAAGAATTTAATAAGTACATCCAGTACTTGGTGGGGAGGGTACAGGCTGAGTCAATTGTTGTCAGCAAAGCTGTCCAGGACTTCTACAAGGTAAAACAATAACAAAAGTACCTGATGAACATGCATCCTGTAACCCCATGCATCAAGAAGTGTAGTTATTAATCATAAGTGTGATCCTGAAAAGGATTTTAAAACAATTTGGGGGGGATTTGTTGCTAAATATTGTAATTTTGTGTTCACTTCCAACTCTTTCTGGTAGATACCATCAATATGGGAACATATTTACATATGCTTATGCATTTACGAATGTTACAAAAATTAAACAGATATTAATGTGGCTGTGAGGATGTAAATATAATTAAGGGATGCTTCAAGGGCCACCACATTGTAAGACCAAGGAGACTCACATAAAACTTAAGGATAGAGAGGGAAATCCTGATTCTCTGCTCCAGCTGCTCAGGAATGAGGTTCATCATTGAAAACAAGCAGGCAACATTTCAAATCCATGAGCACATGCATCTTGATGGATCCCTTGAGCAGCAAGCATGGACCCTCTGTCTGTTGGACACCCATGCTGGACACACTAAGGTCTTTAACCCTCTCCATGAGCCTCCTGCTCAGCAGTGAGCTTGATGCTGGCTTAGAAAACAAATGCACATGTTCACACTGGCCCCACCTTCACAGATCCTCCACACTATCAGCAGAAGCTCTGAGCATCCCTGATGTCCATGCCTGGACCCTGGGTTTCCTCTTGGCATCTAATCCAGCTTGAAGTTTGTTGGTGAATTGCATGGGGATAGTAAGGTCCAGTAGTAGCCTCCCACTTTGACTGAGTTAGCTCCATGAACTCGCACCATCTGAGCATTTTCCAGGGTCATCTTTTCTACTCTTCTTCACAACAGCCTTTCCTCATTTCCCTGTGTATTTTTTCAGAGATACACGGATGAAATTTTACCTAACGAAGATCCTTCACAGCCTCTTATCCCACCACTGCAGCACTACCTGGAAAAACCCATAAACAGGATCCAGCAATATCAGACTATAATCAAGGTGAAGAGCGTTTGTTCTGCACTTACATCTGATAGGTTTATGTTCTGCTTTGGGAAGCTTGTGTAGAAAAGTAGACCTTCTTTTTATTTCATTTTTCTTGGTTTCTTTCTGAGGCAGCTACAATTGGAAGCTCAGCAAGCTTTATCTGAGTGATCTTTAAGTATATACATATATTAAAATATATGCTTACACACATATATGTATATATTAATTCATGTATGTACATATCCATGACAAGTATGGATTTACTTCACACTCAGCAACAAGTATGTTATAAAAATAAGCAATTTCCAGTGCATAAGATACTGATTCACCACCTCTTGTGTTTTATACTGACATGATAATAAGATGAATATTTTTGTTTTCTGCCATCCCAAAATGTTTCATCTTTTAAGCTTTCACCCACTCTGCTATCTCAGGTTCTGGCCAAGACAACAAACAAACATTTCAAAGTAGCACTTTAAATAGTATTTTTCATGGCAAATAGCACTGGGATATCCAGAAAGAAGAGCCATGCCAAAATATTTCTGTATTCTAGTGGTACCTAAGTGAGCAATTTGAATAGTTTAAAGAACATTAACTTCCTAATTTTGAATATATGCCTGCCAAAACTTCGAAGTGTCCCTTGGGAGAGAGAGCAAGCACAGTCACTTTCTATGCCTTCCTTGCTGAAAGAGAGGAACAGGGACAAATCTCAGAAGAACAGGATAACTGACTTTTTGTATTTTATTTCCAAACTCTCTTTTTATGCATCTAATATTGACTCTTATTTTAGCACTGAAACATGTTCTTGCCTCATGGTATTGTCAGGGAAAGCACAAGAGAAACAGAATGGATACATTTGGCATTGCTTTGGGATATTTTTGTTTTTTCACTCACTGATCCATATCTGGTGTTTGCTTCAGCTTTGCCTTTATTTAATTTGATGAGAGGAAAAAACAAGCTGGTTATTCATGAAAGCTGCAGAATGGGTAGGAAAGAAGAGACTTTAGTAGCTAAGCAGCACATGGTGAAAGAATGTGATAAAAGTTGCTAAGGAGAAGGAGCCAGAACGGATATTAAGAAACTCTTCAGCTAACAAGGAAATTGTTGAACTACTTTTTTTCCTGACTATCCAGTGACATTTTCTTCATTCATCTACAGGAGTTAATCCGAAACAAAGCAAGAAATAGCCAAAACTGCACTTTGCTGGAGCAGGCTTATGCCATTGTGTCTGCACTCACCCGAAGAGCAGAAAACAACCTCCATGTCTCACTCATTGAGAATTATCCGGGGACCTTGGAAAGCCTTGGGGAACCCATCCGACAGGTAACTGGGATTTGCCAGTTAGTGCTTTGCATGCCTTCACTAGTTCCTAAGTAGCCTTAGGTCCTACAATAAAGCTCCCTTAGAAATGATATCTAAAAGAGAGGATTTGCTTATTCCCTCTCTTACTGCTCGGAGACGTGGGTCTCTTGGCTTGATGAAGATTTGAAGCACCAGAGCACAGACATTTATGGAGCAATGAACACATAATATTGATATTTGCCTTTCCACCCTGCTCACCAATCAAGAACAGATTTGCTCTAGGTCCCCACATAATTTAAAATAATTTTATCTTTTTCCTCCTCCTCTCCTGCAATTGGCAAGTTACATGGGCCAGCTTCTGAAATTACAGGCATCAGTAAGTCTTCACTGTTCTTTCCTCATGTGTTAAAATCTCACTGAGACTCTTCAGTCTACATGTTTTCAAATTTATGCAGACCTTTTAAAGTGCCTAATCTGTGGGTAAGCTGGTAGAAGGCAGCTCAGCATACATTACATGTGCTCCATATGAAAACTTTAGGAGCACAGAGGAAAGATGACCCAGCTATGAGGACACTAGTCTAGGAGTTTCAACACCCTTACTCAAATTCTTGTTTCCTTGTAGACTTACTGTGTCATGCTGGGCAAGTAATTTTCTCTGCCTGTTTGTACCCTTATGTCTTCTATGAGAATCACAGTGTGTTGCTGAGTGGAGCTGCAGGGCTAAATTACAGTGCTAGTCTGATGGACATTTATCTATCCACATTTAAGCATCCAAAAAAGAGTCTCATCACACCCCAAGAGTTCTTACTTCTCCCTAATGATGCCCAAGGGGAACCCACGTCCCTAACTGGGCTGTATATATCTGAAGATCTGTGAAATTCATGTCCTGCTTTGGGAAAGGAGACCAAGTGAGCAAATAAAGTGTCCACATGACACACAAAATACAATTTTCCATTAGCACTTCCATGTCCCAGAGTGATCCTACCTGACAAAGAGAGACGTATTTTTCTGGTGATGCCATTTAAAAGACAATGTAATGACAACCACTGTGTGCACCCCTGTTGGTGCTGTCAGTTTGATACATGACCTTTAGCATCAGAAGCCATCTGCTGTGCTGTAATAAAGCACCAACACACAAGGTGAGGATGTAACAGGAAACATTGGTTACCTGTTCTCTGAAAAGTGATGGTGAGACATCATTGTGGTCATGATTCCAGGTTTATCACTTTGTGCTCTTCCTTCTTTTTCCTATCAGGGCCACTTCATTGTGTGGGAAGGAGCTCCAGGAGCTAGAATGGCATGGAAAGGACACAAAAGACATGTCTTCCTCTTCAAAAATTATATTGTGATCTGCAAACCAAAGCGAGACACAAAGACAGACACCTACAGTTATGTCTTCAAGAACATCATGAAGGTGTGATCATTATATCCTCACCTAGAGCATTCCCCTGCCATTTAGAACTTCACATTTCTATCCAGCTTGGAAATTTCACTAATCCCTTTGAGCTATTCCTTTGTTTCCAAAACTCTTTGAAGCACAAGTAAAATCTGTGCCTAACCCCAAATCTCACTGCTAAACCTGTGAGAAACCTGTCAGAATCATCAGAAGCATGGGTGGATTTTTATCAGGTTTAATGAGGTTACAGGTGTTTATGTGTCTCTGTAACCTCATGCACTGCTCAAGAACATGGTTTTTGGTGTGACTTTTTCTGTCTATAGTATTTGGTAGCATTTTTCAATCTTTGGTTTTGACAGTCTGTAAGGCTGGTAGTAAATTGGAGGAAATGTTGGTTTAGTCATGCTGTGCTCCCAGTGGCTCTTTCTGCTGGTTGTGTCATTTCCTGACATCAATTCCTCTTTAGAAATAAAAAAAAAATCAGAGGATTTGACCAGTTCATCTTCAGACATTTGGGGATCAGGTTAAAACTGCAAGAAATTGCAGAAAATTGTGTCCCATCCTTAGGATGCCCTTTAATGCTGCATGTTATTTTCTCAGAAGTCCAGTATCCTGGGGAAAGGGTTGCAAAGTGACCCTGAGTGCCCTGGTCATGCAATCCGAAAATTCTTTCAAAGTGGTATAAACTCTCCCTTTTGCTGTTGGAGCATCTAATACAGCTTTAATGGGTATCATAGAATCTCAGACTGGTTTGGATTGGAAGGGACCTTAAAGATCATCTAGTTCTAACCCCCCTGCACGGGCAGGGACACCTCCCACCAGCCCAGGCTGCTCCAAGCCCCATCCAACCTGCCCTTCAACACCCCCAGGGATGGGGCAGCCACAGCTTCTCTGGACAGCCTGGGCCAGGGTCTCACCACCCTCACAGGAAATAATTTCCTCCTAACATCTTCTCTACATCTGTAGTCTTTCAGATTGAAACCATCCCCCTTCCTCTCACTCCAAGCCCTTGTAAAAAAATCCCTCCCCAGCTTTCCTGGAGCCCTTTCAGGCACTGGAAGGTGCTCTCAGGTCTTCCTGGAGCCTCTTCCTCTCCAGGCTGACCAACCCCAATTCTCTCAGCCTGTCTCCAGAGCTGCTCCAGCCCTCTGGTTCTTTTTATGGCCTCCTCCAGATTCAGTCCAATAGCTCCATGTCCTTCTCTTGTTGAAGAACCCAGACCTGGATGCAGTACTGAGAATGGCACAACTTACATCCACTGAGGAGAGTACACACTGGTAGCAGGAGACTTGCTGGTGTTTAGTGGTGGTTTCCATTTTAGACCTTGATGGAAGATAGTCCTGGTTCCAGAAAGCCAGGTCCGGACCTGAACCATTCTCAACTCTGGCATTTCAGCTGTGGGAAAAGTTCTAGCTGGAACTCAGCCCTGAGAACATAGCATGTGTGCTGATTTTCTTCTCTCTCTGTCGTGCAGCTGAACAACATAGATGTGAACGACCTGGTGGAAGGGGATGACCGGGCGTTTGAGATCTGGCATGAGCGGGAGGACTCGGTGCGCAAGTACCTCCTGCAGGCACGGACAGTGAACATCAAGAACTCCTGGGTGAAGGAGATCTGTGGCATCCAGCAGAGGATCAGCGAGCCTGTCTGGAGTGAGTATGGCCCGAGACAGCCCAAACCTCCTGTTGTTTTTCTCCCTGGTTTAAGAAGGAGATCAGCAAAAGAGGGAGAGAAATCATTTAGGGTCGTCTGCCATGTCTTAACATGAGCTGAAGGTTTTCCTTTGGTCACATCACACACTGCTGTGAATAACAACTCACATGGCCTGATGGCAAGAAGTAAATTTGGACTGGAATGATTATAGCAGTGTTAGGTCCTCCACTTGAGCTGGAAAAGGCACCTTTTTCAGGGTGGGACAGTGGTGTAGGGCTCTTCATTCACTATCAAGAGATCTCAGACTGCATATCACTCGAGTCATTACATTTACACAACAGATGGATATATGTATAGATTTTGAGGGAATACCAGAACAGAAGAGTGACTTTCTAAAGACTCTTCAATGTCCATTTCCCGTGGAAAACACAAGCTGATGGCCTGATAAGAGCTGCCTGTCCCTGGCTGTTTCAAGTGATGTTGGCTGCCTTCGATGGAGAACCAGAGTCAGAGGCTGAAGTGGTTGCTCAGTTCCATGTCACCATAATTCATACATTTTTCCCATGCTTTGTGCATTTGCATAGAGGCATCAAAGTTGAGTCCCCACTGATGTTGCCTTATTGCCCAGGATTCCATTATCCTTATTTTTGTCAATAAGAAGAGTGGCAAAATAGCCCAGAAAAATATGTGTCACTGGAGAAGAGAAACATGTTATTGAAACTTCTGAAAGACAAACTGCAGAGTTGGCACTAGAGACACATCTGATCTTCAGGATCAAACTGGGGATTGCAGAAGAGTAGTTGGCCACAGAATTTGGTGACAAGAGCCCTGGCCCACTGCATGAAGAGAATCAGACTCCAGTGGGAAAAGCAGAGTCAGGTCCTGACCCAGAGTCCTGCTGACACCAGCACAGAGCCCCCTGTGACTTGGTTGGGTGACAAATCCCTCACTCTGGACTCTGGCTGACATTGTTGTATCTGGGCACATGTGTTTGCTTTGGACTTATATCTCATCATTCAGACTGCTTCATCTTTACTGTCATTTGAGACTACAACCATTTTCTATCCACAAAATTTATCAGCAGGGATATTAGATCTTTATTGCTCAGGAACAAGCTAGAAATGGTGTCCTCTACAGCCTAAGGAAAATTGGCATCTCAAAATACCAGAAGAGAGCTGATTTCAGTGTGTATACACTGAAAACAAGTCTGGGCATTTTATTTCTGTGCTTTTAGCAAGATATTCTAATGAGGAAGATAAACAGAATAATTTTGTATGATTTCATATGGTACCAATAAATTATCATAAAATTCCTTTAACAAAGCACAGATTTTGTTGTATGGAGAGCAACAGAATAGTATTTTGGATAGCTGAGGAATTATCTTAACTGTGACAGCTGTGTGGTGCCTGAATAATGGTTGTGCTTCTTAAAATCATGGTCTAAAACACTTCCAGCAACAAATTATTTTATTTTCTTTTTATGGCCCATCTTTATAGCTAGCAACAGACATTGGACAGACTGAATTTAGTTCCTGATACACAAGGACTACCTGTCAGCTGGAAAGTCATTGGCTGCTAAACCTACCAGCTCAGCTTTCCATTTTGAACCTCACAGACTTGCATTAATTACACCTATTTACCTGTTCTCATCTTACTTTGCAGCAACCATCCTACAGACAGAGACCGCTTTCTCCAGAGCTCCCGTCCTCCAGACTAACATGCTTATTCTGATGTTTCAGTACCTCCAGACTTTGAGGAAGAACTGGCAGATTGTACAGCTGAGCTGGGAGAGACAGTCAAACTGGCCTGCAAAGTCACAGGAGCTCCCAAGCCATCTGTCAGCTGGTACAAAGGTATGAAATGCATCCTACACATTTGTTCTCTGATTACACTGCTTTGTGCTAATTGGTTAATGGGTAATCTAAAAGCTGACCACCTGGAGATACCCAAGTCTGGGCTTGAAGTTAGCTACTAAATCACCCACGTAACATAGCTCTTCCTGTGTCTTGTACCCTGATTTTTCTGGTTTGCTTATTAGCCCATATGAATCCACATCTTGTGGCAGTTGGATGGCTTCTAGGAAATGAACAACTTGTTTCAGCTGGCTTACAGGATTCCATGTCATGGCACCAGCAGCTGTGCAGACACACTCTTCTTCCCAGCATGTTGCAGAGGAAACAGCTTTGCTGTAAATCCACACTTTGTAAAATCTGTTCTCCACCTTCACAGTCACTGTGGAGGGGTTCCTTTGGGTAGCAAATCACAGCTGCACCTGCACAACATGTACCCTGGGAAAATGTCACTTTTAAATGGGGATTGATGACCTCTGAGGTCCCTCAACAGTGCTTTGCCTGGAGGATGTTTTGTAGAGAGCTGGAGGTAAATGAAGAGCTCATTCCTCCAATAAAGCAAATACAGCTCTTTGTCCTCTCAAGCAAAAAGCCGGATGAAATTCCCAAGGAGAAAACATAAAACTCTATACTAAGCCTTTTTTTCTTCCCCTTTAAGATGGAAAGCCTGTGGAGGTGGATCCCCACCACATTATCATAGAAGATCCTGATGGTTCCTGCACATTGATCTTGGACAACCTGACAGGTGTTGACTCAGGACAGTACATGTGCTTTGCTTCCAGTCCTGCTGGAAATGCCAGCACCTTAGGGAAGATCCTTGTTCAAGGTAAAGTCCTACACAGATACATGGTCTTAAACGGGTTTGCTATGTAATAACTTTACCATTCATGGTTTGTAATATGAAATACCTTCATCAAATGATCTTAAAGCTCTTTTCCAACCAGAGCAATTCTGTGATTCTTTGAAGAAGAAATTCCAGAAGTTTTGAATAACATCTACTGGATAATACTTTAAAAGAAATTGATGGAAAGGTGTCTGCTGTTCTTAAGTCAAAAAACTTGGTCTTTAGAGTCTTGTTTGCAGACATCATAAGAACTTGCTGCTCAGAGACACATCCTGGGTATCTGGTCATGTTTCCAGCTCCTAGCTACATTTATCCTTGCTTTGCAGTGCCACCACGGTTTGTGAACAAGGTTAGAAATGCTTATCTTGTGGAGGGTGAAGATGTTCAGTTCACCTGTACAATCGAAGGAGCACCAAGGCCTCAGATCAGGTCAGTTCAAGTCACACTGGAACAAATCCTCACTTCCCATTTTGCATGGTAGAAAGAGTCTCCCACCCTTTCTTTCAAGGTTATGATCCTTTCTTCTCTGTGTCTTCCACCTTAACCCCACCCCAGTGCTGGATCTTTCCAATCCAAACATTCCTGAGACTCTCAGCAATTTATTCTGGCTGGGACCTGAAAACAAATGTCTACAGATACCTCCGATAGAACTTAGCAGATCTAATGTCTTGACAATATTTCATCATTTCTTTGTCCTCCCTCCCTTACACTTGAATTTAACCAGTCTGGGGTATTCAGACAAAAAGCTCAGCATATCTTTGCATGATCAGAAGCCCTTTTCCCTGCATTGGCTGATGCCATTTCTTGAAAAGCATCTCATAAACTTGTGCAGTTTAATATTCACATGTTCTAACCACCTGCAGACCTGTCTTCCAGGATCCAAAGTTTAATCTAATGATTAACTCTTGAGTTGTTCACCCACTGCTCTGATAGATGGATTGGTGAGCTGGGCACTTCTTGACACTGCACATTTTTCCTGGCTTATACTCAGTGTTTTGCACATGCAGGTGGTACAAAGATGGTGTATTGTTGAAGGACACAAATAAATACCAGACTTTCAGTGAACCACGGAGTGGTATGATAGTCCTGGTGGTCAAGAACCCTTCCAATGAAGATATGGGACACTATGAATGTGAGGTAAGTTCAGACAGATTTATAGATCTGCTGTCTGACATGACATAAATAAAATAATCCATTTTACTGGGAGGGATCCACTGCAAGAGAGCAATGGCTGAGTAACTGCTGCCAGCTGCCATATCAGGAAAGCTTATACAAGTCAGGTTCTCCTAACTAGATCTGGATTGTGAACATCTGAAAGCATCAGAACATTCCAATCTGAGAGCTTGGTGGTTCAAATAATAACAGAATGAGCTTGTTCTGTAGCTTAAATTCAGATCCAGGTCTCTATCAGTCCCTTTTACAAAGTTGAGGACCATTCTGATGTGGTGGGGTTTTTTCTGGACCATTTTAAAATTAGAACAGATTCATGCCACTCCAAGGAAACCATCCAAAGCCAAAATAAAAGAAATTAAATCTAAATCAAAGTGTAAAACACTGAAAGTCCTCTTTATTTGGCAAGCATGCGTGGAAACATGTAAAAAATGAAATTAATGTGCTGTGTAAAATATTTTCTAGAATATAATCAGTCCATGTATTCATAGTAATAAAGCAGTAAGAACTTCTCAGAGCTCAGCAATAAAACCAGTTTACCTCAGTTTAGGAAATGAGCATGGATCCCAGCAACTTCATAGTTATTTCACACAAATTTTTAAGAAGCTTGATATAATTTGAAGATTTGTACTAGTATTTTAGCAAAATCACATTACCTTGCAGTTGCCATTAGCTAAGATCCCAAGGTCCAGGATTCCCTTGGCTGTGTAAGACTCAGTTGATTAATGGATGCTAAACAAAACAACCTCTTTAACTACCACTTGAATGCCACATGGCAGGAATCTGTGCCTGTTGGTAGAGACAGAGCTGCCTCAGGACCAAGCCACAGAGCAAACTGCAAATAACTAAGTTACCTGGTGTGCCAGAACTTGTCTTTGTGGTGAAGCATCACCAGGAGCTCCACTGAGCAGCGACGTGTTCATTTCGAGTCAGTCTTTGCTTTGGGGGTCACATCTCCCCACCCATTTCTGATGCTGAGTGATGGCCATCCGTTTGGAATGTAGTAGAGGGAGGTTTTGTTCTACCAAAACACCCCCCATTTCATTTGGTGCTGCATGATTCTCTTCAGCTGGTGAACAGATTAGGGTCTGCAAAAAGCGGAGCAGAACTTTACCACCACACTGCTGCAGCCCTGACCCGGGACAGGAGAGGAGACCAAGCCATCACCATAGAAGGTATGACCCTTGATCAGCTCTGTGAGTATGTCAGTGAATCACTCTAAAAACCACCTCGCTGAGAATCGAATATATTTGCCATCTTATCCATGTTGATTGTTGGTGTCCACCTCTCTGTATGTCTATGAGATGTGCATGGGTATAATGCAGCTCAGCTCTATACCCATCACCATCTGTTGCTTTCCAAACCTGGCAAGTCAGCTTCCTCATATAATGCTCATCAATGCATTATATGGAAAAGGAGGAGCAAATGAAGGGTATGTCACACCACTAATGCAAAAAAAAACAACCCCAAAAAACAACAAAAAAAAAACACCACAAGTGTTTCTGTTCCTGTTGGAATACTTGAAAACAGGTGTCAGGCTGGCAGGACATGGGTTATGTAGTGCTGAGAAAACCCAGGGCCACCAAGAAAAGCTGCAGGTATCTTGTGGTAATTTCTGAAATACCACTGAAGACCATCTGGAATGGCTGAGAAAGCAGAACTGACAGCAGTTTTTCCTGAGCAATATTAGTTCATCCATTATCTAGGGCTGTTCAGGTGTTCCACACCACAAAGTCATGGAGGTTATTCCTTTTTTTTTATTCTTATTTTTTGCTTGTTTTACCAGAATTCTTAGGGTGTGATGGGCTCATTTTACACTCATCCAACCACCCTGTCTTCTCCTTAACACCTTCAGGATGCGATTGGGTCAAGTTACCTTCTCAAAGAACAGGTCTCTCAAACAGTTCCCAGCAGGGGTTCAGGAGATAATACAGCCAAGAGACCATTTATAATAGATAACAGATGGTTTCTGGGGGATAAGAGAGAGTACTAAGACAGGCCATGCCATGGCAGTGAACCTTGGTGTCAGAGAGCTGTCCCAGATGTGGTTAGTAGAGACATGGCCAAGAAAAGCCAGAGGTTTGCCAACAGCTCTAGGACCTTCTTTCCTCACCTTCAGTGTTTTCACATTGTCTTGTGATAGTAACAGGGGTTCAAATGTACTTTTAACAAGGGATAATTGTTATTACCAACATTCAAGTGAGAACCATCAAATGCAAAGGCATTCAGACTCAAGAAGCTGCTGGAGTCTAGAGATATATTGAAGAAAAATGATACTCCACTTGTATTTTTTTTCATTATTTTCATAATAAGCCTTTGTTGTTGGCCCTGCCTGAGCCAGGATCCTGGTCTGGATGGACCTTTGCGCCAGTTCTGTGTAGACAGTGATGACATTAAGAGGATTCAGACACAACAGGCTATTAGATTAGTGCCCTGATCTCTGTACTTGCTTGTCTTGTTTTTATGCTTGCTTTCCTGGTAGTCCTTTCCCAGACTCCCATCAAATAATTCAAAAGCAATAGAGAGAGGGTGGTGTTAGTGCAGCAACAGCATAATCTTTTGAGCAGAATAAACCTTCAATGCTTTGTCCTTGCCATGCAGTAAGGATAGGAAAATAAGTTGTATGCAGGATGTAGAGGAACACAAATCACTGTTAGGGTGGCATATCTTGATGATGTTCCCTTGAACCAAAGCAGAAGATGTTATAAAAACAAACAAGGGCTATGAAGCAGTGGTAGGAACATTGTTCAGCTCTTGGGGTTGCAAATGTTCAGCCCCAAATTACTCATGTGCTGTTAATCCTGCAGTAGTAAGTAAACAAAATTAATAAGTTTGCTTGAAGAACTGTAATTGGAGTTTTCCTGGAAGTTTCAGAAATGCTACGAAATAGTTTTTTTGATCTGTGATGTGCAATTGTTTGAACTTGGTAATAGGGAAGGAAATAGATCCCTGAGTCATCTCCAGGGAGAAAAAGAGAGCTGCTTCAGGCCAGTGGAGCAAAGAGCAGGCTCATCCATGGAGCAAGAGGATTGTTCTGAGCATTTGACATAATGCACTTGGCTGAGGAGGGAAATTGTGGCTTTCTTGAGAATCAATAACCAGCCTTGATCTACCTATGGAAAAATCAGGTTCATCTGGCAAAGAACTGGAGAACGGATGGATCTCATGAAGGCTTTATCTTTCCATCCTTACAATCCTTTCTATTGGTGAAAAATGGGATTATTTGTAACTTCACCAAGAGGACAACATTACTGCTGTGTGGTACAACAGAAAACAGAGACTGTCTCTCTTTCCTAGCTCACCTGCATGGTGGGCCTAAGTCTTACCTGATTTATTGTTGGTTCTGTGGAATGACTATTGTCAGAGTCTCCTGAGGCACTCAAGGGGCTTTAGTTGCAACTATTTTAGTTTTTATCCTCCTGCCTTCCTGTACTGTTTGTTATACTGAACCACAACTACTGTCACAATTTGGGATACCCACAGTCCAGTGGTTTCTGAGCCCTGACCTAGTCCACAGTCCAACACCATGAGGCTCAAAACCAAACTTCTTGTCATAAGGTTTAAAATCACACAATGGGAACTTGCTGATCCATTGAAAGGACCAAATCCAAGAAGGCTGGAAACCACTGGACTAAGGGGTCCCCTTGCAAGCACTGATGTCTTGGGCTGCAAGCCTGAAATGCTGAGTTCTGCCTGCAGCTGCACCTGGTCACTGCAATGAAGTCAATGGAGAGTTGCTTGTAAAATCCTTTTTCTGTGGATATTGGAAGAATTTTAGACACTTAAAAAAAAAAGTAAAAAAAAAAAAAAGTATAACTGAAAGAAGATCTTTCTCTTTGACTTCAAGTTGACTGTTTGCTTTGAACCTTGCTGCTTAACCTCCACATGGCAGAGCTGGGCTGGTGTGCTCTGGCATCCCTTTTAACACATTATTATTGCAATTCATTCATCCCAGCCTCACTAACTTGTTCATTTTTTTTAAGAAAAACAAAGCCCAGTGTTTTTAAAAGATGTTGCATTCTCACCTGGGCAGACAGGTCCAGGATGTAGTTGCTTGCAGGGGAAGGAATCTCAGAATCATAGAGTCATAGAATCATAGAATGGTGAAGTTTGGGAGGGACCTTAAAGATCATAACCTCCCTGCTATAAGCAGGGACACCTCCCACTAGACCAGGCTGCACAAGCTTCATCCAACCTGGCCTGGAACAGGGAAGGGGCTTCCACAGCTTCCCTGGGCAACCTATTCTAGTGCCTTCCTACCCTCATGGTGAAGAATCAGCTACACAAATGAAGACAAAGAAAACTGTAAAAAAAAAACACCCCAGGTGGTTACAGCCCAGCAACATTGCCTTAGAGCTCATGGAGAGTTTTGGGAAAGTTATTTAGTTGCCTTGTTTGGTAATACCCACCTTGCAGGGAAAAGCTAAAAATGGAGGCTCTCAGACTGAAAGTTGTTTTAAAACACAGAGGGGCATAAGATCTCCCAGTGTTCCCCTTTAACTGAAGGAGTAGGGCAGAGGAGTTTGTCCCCTGACCTTTATTAAATTCCCTGGCTGGGGTGATGATGGTTAGGATATTTCCCTTGTTATTTTTATCCTGCTGTCATTGTTGGTCAGTCTCATTTTTGGGCTGGCCTCAAGGTTTCCATGCAAACCCAAGAGAGCACGCTCTGCCTTTCCAACCATCTCGGTTGCTACAGGAGTGGAGCCTCTTGTTTTTGTTCAGAGAGGGTGCAAACCACTCTCATTTCATTCACACCGTTTAGGAAGCTTAGTTATGTCCATGAATTACTCATTTCAAGATCAGCTTTAGTAGCTGATGGCAGATCTGTTGCAGAAGAGGGGTGAAAGCAGAGCACTGCTCCTGTGGTTTATCCCAGCAGAGTGTGAAGCAGATGTGAATTTTGCAGTAAAGCCCATAAACCACTTTACATCCATTCAGAGCAACAAGACCCGACTTATCCTAAATGTTTCATCACCTATAAGTCTTTGATTTAGTGCATTAACCAGAGAGGAGTCCAGTCCTGTAGAAGCACTGTCTGATCCCAATGCTTGCAACTTTTAACCTGCTTATCAGGGGCTCCTGCTTTGCTCAGCTGTGTTCCTAAAATGCTGTTGAACAAGTTGAAATGATAAATCTGGTGCTAAAATGGATGCAGAATATTTTCCTCTCGGGGAAAAGAAATTTTTAAAAAATTAAATAATAATAAAAAAAAGAAACCCAAATTCTCTCATCCTACTTTCATGTGGTTCTATCCTTCATTTAGGATTGCTTAAATCTTCCCTCACACCTTGGATAGCACATATAAAATGGACCTGTCACTCACTAAACTGCCAGTCATCAGGACTTTATGCCATTTACAGCTTTCTCATCCCAGGCCTGCTCAACTTTTGAATACTGAAGCCCTTTGATATTGGCTACATGTATAAATATTGTGGTTGATGTCAACTGGGAGGACAGACATTAACAGCAAACATTAGAGAGACCTCCTACAGACATTGGGGATTTCATTACATAGATACTTAATTATCATCTAAATGCAGTTGCTCTTAAAATAATTGTATAAAACATCTATGCTTAGGTGTAGAATCAGATGAATCAATTCCTATTTACATCAGAACTGATACTCTTGCTGCTTATGGATTAATCTCGTTATAGTATTTGATGAGATTTTCTATAAGTTATGTTAAAATTGCACAATATTGTTTAAGGGCTTAAAAATTTCAAAGCTGGGTGCAGTACATTTTTCAAGCACTCAGTTCAACTTCCATCATTGTAGAATTATCACTCCACCATTTAAAAAAGGCTTTGAATGATTTAAATAAATATTATCCTATTGTCATTGTGTTTAGAGATAAACATTTGAAAAGAACTTTCCTGTTATCTTACACAGTAAGTTCTAATTCTAATTTCCAAACAGATTTTTTGTTTAAATCCACCTAATTCTGCAGTAACTCCTTTGACTAAACTGGAAATTATTCTAGATTTTTTACATGCACAAGTGAGAGAGGGCTCTGCAAAGAAAACATCAAGCTCTAGGTCAGATACCAACACCAACATTTGTACCCAGAGGCAGCAGAGAGCCCTTGGAAGTGAAGTGGAAACAGAATTAGGTTAAGCTATTCCATCTAATATTGTAAATGTGCTTTTAATTTTCAATCAATTAAGTTTTGAGACACTATTGAAAATATCAACACTGATCATCAGTTATTTAACAAATAATACAGACATTACAACCTCCCTGGGCAAGAACTGTGTGATTTTACAGATATATTTTTAAGTTGCAGTTCATATCAACTGAAAATTAGCAGACCTTATTATTATAGGCTGGCTGGAAGATTGCAAACCAAATGCTGGACAAATTACTTTGAGATTAAATTAAGGGGGGTTTAGACAATTTACTAGTTTATTAAATAAAAAGTGGGGCTTGCTGTTGCTTTTTCTAGATCTAAGAGAGGTTAAGCAGTTCAGAGTGTGTTCAAAACAGTCTGGTTCAAAGAGTATCTTCTAGCAGATAGGATGGGAACCTGCCAAAAATTTCTATTAGCTTCTCAAATGGTACCTTCCTTATTTTATTTTTTAAAAAATAATAAAAAGGTAGAATTTAAGGAATTGCAAAGTCATTACAGCATCACTTTTCCTTTGATCTCGATATTCCTCACCAGCTTCTAGTTTGTGATGGGACAGAGGTCAGGAAAAATTACAAATCAGAGCAAAAAAAGGGGTGGAGTAGGCATAGGTGTGTTACAGGGCTCTTCTGGGTTCCCTAGGGGGATTTTTTGATGCTGATTTTCTTTACTGATGATAATGACTTTAGTTTTCATTGTTATCAGCTTGGATTTTTCATCTAGTTCACAAAAGCTTGGAAACCATTCAGTGTTTGGGGAGATTTTTTTTTTCCTAGTAAATGAAATCACAGTTTAAAGAATTTCAGCTCCAGAATTTTCCAGATCAAGGCATTTTTTCAGGTTTCTCACACCATCACTACTTTATTATAGGAGAAAAAAATAATAAAAAATAGGACCCTGTTCTCTAGCTTTGACCTGCCAACCAAAAATGTCAGAATCTCATGGTAGAATTAAAGAGATTCAGCAAGATTGTTCTCCACAAAGTATTCAGTTGCAAGACTAAATCACTGTTCAAAGAGCACTCTGAATTCTCCTTCTTGGTCAGAAACACAAAAGATGATGCTGGAAATAACCACAGAAAGCATGGATGGGATGGTACAGTTGGTTGGTTTTTTATTTCACTCCAGTTTCTTTTGATGAACTGAGCAAAGTTAATTTACTCATTTCAGCTTTTTGCCTTTCTTTAACCCCATGCTGTTCATACTGTTTTCTTTGTAGTCACTGAACAAGAGACTAAAGTGCCCAAGAAAACCATCATCATGTAAGTGCTGATTATGATTCTTTTGTGTAACATTTGTGTTTTGCCTTGCTGCCCATGCATGATCCAATAACAAGCTTGTGTTTATTGGCCATGCAAGTGTGTTCATTCCCATCCCACCAGTTCTCATGGTATTCTGTGCTATGCAAACTGACCACCTGAACAGAAAAAAAATCTTACTATCCCCTTCAAAAAATAGTAGCACTGGGGTTAGAAACAGCCTGGGTCAGGTTTTTTTATGGTATTATACATGAAAAAATTCCACTGAATGCTGCTGGATTTGCAGAAGGGTTTGAGAAGGTAGAGTCTGACTCTCCATGTTAAAAAGATACCAGCTTTGAGAACTGACTAGTTGAAAAAATGTTCAAATTTAACCAATATTTCAGAGCTTACAGTGATTTCTTCTGGCTTTTTACTTTAAATTCTTCAGGAAAGCCTTTTATAATGAAGCAGAAGGAAGATGCACATTTCTGTCCCCTTCTGTCGCTGTATTTTTAATATGAAATTTTGCCCTGATAATGACTTGGTCTTTTTTGGATACTTTGAGCCTGGTTTACAATGGTTGATTATAACATATCAGGATTAATTGCAGAAAAAGTGGTACTTTGTCTGCTGTGTGTAGACCAGAATCTCAACAGCCATTAAAATCTTATTGTAGCTTATTGTTTTTAAGTATCATAAACAAGTTCATAATAAAATAGTTTCATGTGCTGGAAGGGGGACATTGTCCTTCTGTGGTAGGTCTCCAGAGCACCTTCAAACTATTCAAATCATCTCCCAGTAGCAGTAGGTGACCATACAATGGAAATTTCAGGGCAGTGCATTCCCTCAAGACTTGTACTGCTGCTACAATCCGTCCTTGACTTGGACATGATGCTAAAGTTGACTTCTTGTACTTCTGATAGATGGTGAGGAGGATGTGTTAAATGACAACTAAAATATGATTAAGTCTTGCTTAACTTTTATCTCTTTTATTATTTTCTGTGATGACTATTTCTTATGACCCATGCAGCCAGGCCATTTGAAGCCAGAGGGCTTTTAAGGAGACATGTCCCTTCTCCAACAGCTTCCACTTTGAATAGGCAAAGAGCAGACAGGAGAAGCAGGAAGAGGATCTGCCTTTGCCTTTCTCTCTTGCACATCAGTTCAGTTAATATCTCCAGTCACTGGACTTTTTCTACCCTGCAAAGAGCAGAAAAAAAGGTGTTTCTGCCTGTATCATAAGGACCAGGGTTCAGATAGCAGTGGGGTACCTAAATAGAGGAGTATTTTCTGATATCACATTCAGAAACATGCCAGGAAAGTAATGAGCAGGAAGGAATCACCTAAAGTCAGACCATGTCTAAGTTTAGTAAATCTCATCTATGCACATCTCTGTGCCTGTCAATCACCTGGACAGATGCTTCTATTTTACATCTCTCCTCAGTCAGCCAATAGTTCTTCTTTTCCCTTCATGATTTCGGATCACAGGCAGCAGCATTATTATTGATAGATTAAATAATATTAATCTAGTGCAAAATACAATCAGTTGGGGTGATTTCTAAATGTCTGACATATAAATTCATAGACCTGTAGAATTGTTTTGGTTGGAAAAGACCTTTAAAATCATCAAATCCAACCTTTAACCCAGCCCTGCCCAGGCCACCACTAAACCATGTCCCTCAGCACCATCTCCAGGGCTTGGAAACCCCTCCAGGAATGGGGACTCCCCCCCTGCCCTGGGCAGCCTGGGCCAGGCCCTGACAACCCTTGCCAGGCAGGAATTGTTCCCCAGATCCAACCTCCACCTCCCCTGGCACAACTTGAGGCCAGTTCCTCTTGTCCCATCCCTTGTTCCTGGGGAGCAGAGCCCGACCCCCCTGGCTCCAACCTCCTCTCAGGCAGCTGCAGAGCCAGCAGGTCTCCCCTCAGCCTCCTTTGCTCCAGGCTGGACACCCCCAGCTCCCTCAGCTGCTCCTGCTCACACTTGTGCTCCAGCCCCTTCCCCAGCTCCCTTGCCCTTCTCTGGACACGCTCCAGCCCCTCCATGTCCTTCTTGTCCTGAGGGGCCCAGAACTGACCACAGGATTTGGGGTGCAGCCTCACCAGTGCCCAGCACAGGGGGGTGATCCCTGCCCTGCTCCTGCGCACACCACTATTTCTAATACAGGTCAGGATGCTGGTGGCCTTCTTGGCCCCCTGGGCACACCCTGGCTCATACTCAGCTGCCATGACCAACACCCCCAGGACCTTCTCCACTGAACCTTTTCCAGCCCCTCTGCCCCAAGCCATAGATAGGCAGCTCAAGAAGTAATTCCTAAAATAAGGGCTGTAGCCCCAAAGGAGGTTGGTACATTTATGTGTGAGGTCTCCCCTCCTTTTGCTAGTGGATGGGGTGATGAGCTCATTAGAGTGGCCCTCAGCTGGGAGTGGGATAGTGGTGGGGTGAAGATTGGGAACAGCTCTCCAAGGGCACATTCTATCACTCCTCAATGTGTAGTGAGCTGAGGAACAGAAGCAGCTTTGAAACTATTAGCAGAAAATAATAGATAATAAGAGATTATTTAGAGACAGGAATGAGCAAAGTCTGTGTAAGAATTTCAGCTTGCAATGTAGAGCAAAGTCTGGTGCAAACACATGTGGATTAATTCTCATCTTTTTCCCTAAATTATTTAATTTTGTGTAATTCAGAAAGGCACCAAGGCACATGAAGGCTCTGCATAGAACTCAAAGCTTTATAGCAATGTCAGTGAGCAGATAAGCCCAACGTGGGATGGAGGATCAGAAACAAGCTGATAAACCTGGGGAAAAAGAGTAAAGCAGTGGAAAATGAGCAGTAGCAGACAGGGTGCTCTGGAAAAAATCACACTGTAGCTGATCCAATCCTGGACTTCACCACATCCTCAAAGGGAGAGATTGATGGTGGAAAGAAATCTCATCTCTATAGGAGAAGGCAACACCAGCCCCCAAAAATGAGACTAATGGATGAGAAAGGCTACAAGATAGCCAAGAGGATTAGTCTTCCATAATGGTTAGACAAATGCAAGAGGAGAAACAGGCTCTCCTTTCACAAGGACTCTTTCCACCCTTCTCTGTATCTGAAGAGCCAGAGCAGAGGCAGTGGGAGAGCAAAGCTGTTCTATGTTCAGTTCTATGTGGCTGTGATTAGAGGCTGGTATAGAGAAAGAGAGTAATTAAAAGCTGTATCTTCATTCATAATCATTCCTCCCCACTTGAAGCAATTGTCTTTTCCCTTCAGTTAGTTCCTGCTTTATCCCATTGCTGGGAGGTAGGACAGAATCCCAACACAGAAAAATGTCAGCTCCACTGGACCAGCTGCCTGGTCTGCAGAGCATCAGCTTCTTTGTGCTTGCACAGACAACACTGTCTTTACCTTTCAGTGTTTCCATGTAAGACATGGCTCTGAAAAACCTGCAGGAAAACCCCCATATTAACCACACAGATTAAGAGCACAGAAGTCTGTGTTTAGAGGTTCTTGTTCCCAGCTTTTAAAGCTATTTGATCCAGTTTCATCTGTAGCTGATTTAAAGTTTGTCTTGGGGTGGGAGCAGGAGTTTGTTTTGACACAAGCTGTGTGTTTATCCAGGGATCCTGAGAAGCCCCAAGTGCTTTGGATACCTCAAAAAAGCTAAAGTCAGCAGAAATATGCTCAGAAATTATAAGAATAGAATCATAAAATCCTAGAATAATTTTGATTGGAAAAGAACTTATGATCATCCAGTCCAACCATTAACCCAGCCCTGCCAAGGCCACCACTGCCCCATGTCCCTCAGCACCACATCTACATGGCTTGGAAATCCCTTCAGGGATGGTGACTCTACTACTGCCCTAGGCAGCCTGGGCCAGGGCCTGAAAATCCTTTCAGCAAAGGAATTTTTCCTAATATCCAATGTAAACCCCCTCTGTCACAATTTGAGGCCAGTTCCTCTTGTTTAATACTCCAGTGCCAACTGGTGGTTGTAGGATCAGGCTGTGTCTGCAGTAATATTCTGAGCAGTAAAAATAAGCACATTTTGGCACAGATTACTTCTGCAGGAAATGTTCTAACTTTCTTTTCCTGGTCTTCACATGCTTGATAACCTTTTATTATAACTGCTCCATGTGTGAAAATGCAGGTGTCTGGTCTCAAAAGTCTTTAACAAAAAAATCAATAAAGATATGTTACATTTATTAAAAAAGAAAAAAGTGCTGATCTTGCTGGAAAAAAAGGACATTTTGCTGTTGAGTTTGATAAAGCCAAGGTTGGAGCCCAAGACACTCAGGAGAAGGTCTGAGTGTTTAAGATCTTTGGGCAAAACTGCTGTATAGGTCTAAAGTATCACAGTCAGGCAGTCAAGACAAGCACGTGAGATAGAGCAGCATCCAGAAGAACATTTCTCAGCTGGTCACCCTTGTGTGTTCATGCTGTCAGGGAGGTTAATGGAGCTAGGAGAGAGTGGAGATGGGCATGTTGGGTGTGTGCCTTGTGTGTGTGTGTGTGTGTCCCCAAAAATGACACGTTTTCCCCACTGCTGGAGTGCTCACACCACTAACCCCCACTGTAGCACCCTGATCAACAATGGCATGTGCTGATGGAGTGTAGCCCCCCCAAAAAGCCTCATCTTCCCTCCAACTGCATTTCAACCCTTTCTGTCATCAGAGAGGAAACGATAACCACGGTGGTGAAGAACCCGAGACAAAGGGGAAGGGTTTCTCCTGCCCGTTCTTCTTCAGGTCATTCGCCTTCCCGCTCTCCAAGGGCTGAGCCAGTTCCAGAGCCAGTTTATGTTTCAAAGATCAGGCAGCCTGTCCACAGGCACGAGCAGGAGGCAGCACCAAAGTCTGCTGTTCCCATGCTCTTCGTCACAGAACCGGAGGAGAGGCGAGGAGCAGCAGCTAGAGACGTCGTCGTAGAGACCAAAGTGGAAGAGAAAAAGCCCAAATGGGTAGAAGTGGAAGAAATAATTGAATTCAAGGTGAAAAAATCACCAAAACCTGCAAGGAAAAGAGGCTCTTCCCCAGCAAAACAAGAGAAAGATGACTCAGGGGTGCTCACGTTCACGTTTCCCAGCCCAAGGCCCAGGCGTTCTCCAGAAGATGATCCCAACACCAACAACTCCAACAATAAATTGGTGGAGCAGTCAAAACCTTTGCCTAGTGACAGTCTCTCTGAAGCTGATATCCAGCCCCTGGTGTATACTACTGAGTGGAAAGGATCTCAAGTCATCATCGACGAAGACAGAAGCTCCCCATGTGGGTCTGAACAACTAGGAAATAATTCATTGGTGGATCATGGAACCGAAGGAAAGAACTTTCCACATGAAACAAGCGCTTGTTATGGGTCAGACATCACTTCTCCACTGCTTGCCTGTGGGGGTGAACCTTTGGTCTTCACTTTTGAGACAGCTGCTGCAGACCAGCAGGGATTTCTGTTCTCACTAGTGAGTTCAGAG